AGGAAACCTGTGATTACTAACATTTTGAAGTGCTCATCTTTAGAGGACAAGAGGAATAAGCAGGAGTTACTGAGGGAAGTAGAAAGGGAAAAACCGAAGAGGCCATTTTTAGGAAGAGAGGGGTAGCTAGAGGGTTAAGTATGGCCGAGGTCAGGACACAGGAAAGCCAAGACCAGCTAGTTGATTTGGGCAGTTTCAGGAGAGCCGTGAGCGCAAGGTCCAGGCTAGAAGAGGGTTCGGGGCTGGGTGGTTGGTCAGGAAGAGGGGGCCTCTGGTATAAGGCACTTACCACTCTGCAGCGTAGCCGGCTTCTCGGAAGGGAAAGGGAGAAAGCAAAGTGTTTCCAGAAAGGCATGGGGGGAGGGGGCAGAAAAACATCTTTGTGAGCTAAGGGAAAATGTGCTGGGAGGGTCTTATTGTAATAAAGGGCCATTTTCAAGAGGCCCCCTATGATGTCACTTGAACAATAAGTTTGCCCTATAAGAGACTTTATTTATTCATTTATTTTCAGGGCCATTTTCAAGAGGCCCCCTATGATGTCACTTGAACAGTAAGTTTGCCCTATAAGACACTTTATTTATTCATTTATTTTCTTTTCTTATCCTCACCCGAGGATATGTTCATTGATTTAGAGAGAGAGAGATCTGTTGCCTCCCACACGCGTCCCCCCCCTCCTCCAGTGGGGATCGAACCCCCAACCTTTAGGTGTATGGGACGATGCTCCAACCAAAACCAACTGAGCCCCACCCAGCAGGGGCTTAGTTTATTTTCACAGTTATTTCTGATGTGGTTGCAAAGTAACCCAATGATTAGGTGGCTGCGAATCTATGAGTATATCTGAGGGACCTCCCACTGGGTGCTCGTGAAAACTCCGTGGCAGTAACGGCCTGAACCGGGATGCCAGGCCTTTTTTTATCCTCACCTGAGGATATGTTCATTGAGAGAGAGATCTGTTGCCTCCCATATGCGTACCCTCTCCCCCGGTGGGGATCGAACCCGCAACCTTTAGGTGTATGGGATGATGTTCCAACCAAAACCAACTGAGCCCCACCCGGCAGGGGCTTAGTTTATTTATTTTCACAGTTATTTCTGATGTGGTTGCAGAGTAACCCCAATGATAAGTAACCCCAATGATAAGGTCCCTCAGATATAAGTATACCTGAGGGACCTCCCATTGGGTGCTCGTGAAAACGCCAATGTGGCAGTAACAGCCTGGACCGGGATGCCAGGCTCGTGCCACCCACTCAGATCCACAGTTCACCACGAGCACATGTTCACTCAGCTCCTTCCGTTCCCTCACTCTGTGGAAGGAGGAGAGACCTGAAGGGCTGTGCATGGCCTGGCCTCGCCCTGGGTGGGGCTGTGGGCCCTCATCAGGGACAACTGTCACCTGGCCGTTCACTGGAGAGGACTGCCTGCTGCAGCCAGGTGTTAACGGAGGAGGGCTGCATCTTCCGTCTGAGGGTGTCCACAATCAGAACGGGCAGGTGACAGACAAGCGCTGTGGGATATGTAGATGTGCAGAACATACAACAGTGAAAGGAGTGGTCCCTTTTTTAAAATATTTTTTATTGATTTCAGAGAGAGGGAGGGAGATAGAAATATCAATGATGAGAGGGAATCATGGATCGGCTGCCTTCTGGGGATTGAGCCTAATACCTGGGCATGTGCCCTGACCGGGAATCGAACCAGCGACCTTTTGGTTCCTGGGTCAGTGCTCAACCACTGAGCCACACCGGCCGGGCAGGAGCGGTCTTTTTTGAAAATTCTTCCATTGTACATGTGGTCCCCTTTCCAAAGAAAATAATGTTCAAGTGCTTTATTCTTTAAACTTGGTTAGACTATATACCTTGAACCGGGACTTGCCAGGAGTGGAATTAGCGAGAGTGCACAGCAGTGAGATTTCACAGGCCCTTTAATTTCCTTTATGTCCCCACCTCCCTGCTTTTCTCGGTTTCCATCTTAATATCACACCCCTGTCCGCCTTTCACATTGTGCACGACACTCGTGTCCCCTCGTGGTGCCCAGGGCCTGGGGAGCAGGAGGCGCACAACCCCCTGAGCAGCACCGTGGCCCTTAGGAGGCATTCCCGCTGCTGTGGCCTCCGGATGCGGACTGCCTGTCTCTGTGTGAACAGCTGTCCCCGGCAAGGGTGGTGCCTGAAACATCTGGTGAGGAGGGTGGTGGTGGAGTCAGGTGAAAGGCGGGGACATGTATGTAAAAGTCAGCACATGTGTGTCGTGGGTAGCGGCGCGGCCAAATCAAAACCAAATGCTTTCCAGGGAGGGGAAGCGGTACTTGCAGTGGGTCTTTTAAGGTGGCTGCGCATGTGCGTGCAGAGTTTTCGAGAACACAAGACAAAAAGCCATCATAGGGGTGCATTAAACCACAGTATGAAAGCGAAGCCATCGGGGGCCCACTGCCCTCTATTGATAACGTGCTTGTAGGTAAAAATGCGTAACTTCTGGTTCATTTGAAAGAAAATGGATCCATTTAAAACAGGGTCTCATGAGTCATTGTGGAAGCCCGGGGCATTTCATTTCGCAGGGCTGGTCTTTTAAAGGTCTGGCACGTAAAGGCCTCTGTTCAGTCTGAAGCAGTGAAGAGAAAGTCTCAAGTGCGCTATTGACCGAGGACTTGAGCGCTTCAGAACCCGTTCCTCGCACCTTAGTTTGCATTTGGCGGGGGAGGAAATAAAGTGTGAAGAATATAAGCGCTGGGTGTGTTCTGTTACGTTTGAACCACCACCATCAGCCTGTTGTGGTTTATAGCTTTTCGTGTCATTCAGAATTATCCTGAAAAGGGTTTTCCCTCTTATCTAGCAGCGTTTTCCCTTGATGAGTGAGTCCTCGTCAGACTTGAAGTCCTGTGGGTCTAGGTGGTTTTGCGTCGAGAAATTAGCTGTTCGTGTGGCTTAGGCATTTAATTTTAAAATGTGAATTTGGGAAGAAGCTGACTTCTTCCAGATGTCTTTTGTTTCTCTTGTGTTTGAAGCAAGAGATGATATCATAGTGGTTACGAGGCCAGATTCTAGAACTAGACTACCTGGCTTCCAAGCTCTGGGACTTTTTATTGAGATATAATTGGGGTAATATTATGTTACTTTTAGGCGGACAACTTAATGATTCAATATTCTATATATTGCAAAAGGATTACTACAGTGAACTTAGTTAAATCAGTCACCGCACAGATTTCTTTCTTGTGATGAGGACTTTTATTTTGGCAAATACACAACACAGTGTGATTAACTATAGTCCCCGTGCTGTGCGTTACAGTCCGTGACTGATTTACTTTATAGCTGCGGTTCCTTGGTTTCATCTCATAAGTTGTTGTGAGAATTAAATGAGATGATAATCTATATAAAGGAACTCCTTGGAAGTGCAGGCTAGCATGCTTTATTTTCCTAAGATTACTTTTCAAAGAATAACAATGAAAAATGCCTCTACGCCCTTTGGCGCCCATTGGCTCAGTGATTGAACGTCGACCTGTGAACCAGGAGGACACCATTCGATTCCCAGTCAGGGCACAGGTCCAGGTTGTGGGCTCGATCCCCGTTGTGGGGAGGTAGTGGGGGAGGGCGTGCAGGAGGCAGCCGATCAATGATTCTCATCATTGATGTTTCTACCTCCCTCTCTCTCTCCCTTCCTCTGTGAAACCCATGAAAATATAATTTAAAAAAACAGCCTCTGCAAGTGCTCCTTAAAGCATAATTGTTATATTTTAATTTCCTTATTAAAATTTAGTTGGAAGCAAATAGCCCCACAAAGCCAGATCTGTGAAGCTGCGAGAATAGAATGTAAACATCAACAATCTATCCTTAGAGACACATAGCGGCTTTTTTCCAGAATGGTATTTACAGCCCGAGCTTTATTTACACAGCTAGCATCTAGCATGAAGCTGAAGAAGTCATTCACAAATATATGAGTAAGAAGCCGGTTTGAGACGAGCCAGAAATGGCCATCACAGCAGCCCAGGGAGCTAGCATGGACGAGAATTTGAGAGTCACTGTCCACAAGTTAAACGTGTCTTTTTTTCTGTAATAAAACTTCAAGACACTTGGAGTTGGCAAGACAGATTCTGCATTTTAGCAGAAGTTCAGTGTAGGTTCTACCGAGCGCTCAGTTCCTATCAAGACCTGGAAGCCTCAAGGTAATAAGGCGTGTGGTCCAGGTCTGGTGGGAGGAGCACAGAAGTAGGCCTTTGGGTCAGAGGTGGAGAAGGAGGGCGTGGAAGGGTGTCTGGAGAGATGGCTTGATGGTGGCATTTGGTAGCAGAGCGGTTTCCGAGGCGTGGTAGGAGACTAAAGCCAGGTTGGACAGTGAAGGGAGGGAGGTACATGGGGGTTTGTTCATCTAATCACTAGGTAGTTGTTAAGCACCTTTGAAAAGGTACTGTTCTAGGCTCTGATACTGCACTAAATAAATACATAAAGCAAAAATCTCTGCCTCATGGAGCTCACAGACCAATGGACATGTTCATTGTAGTTTTAGCTGGAAGGAAAGTTACAGGTGTAGGGGATTCTTTGGTTTGGTTCAGCTGTTTTTAAGATGTACACTCTAGGAATCTGTTTATGGGCTCAATTCTTTTTCCAGAACTTCCAGAGTAAAAGTCTGGAGAAAGGGAATAACCAGACAACCAGAGTTCTGGGAGAGAGGCGAGGAGTTTGGATCCTCTGCTAGGATACATCTTCTTTCCACTGAGGAAGTGTAAATTTCAGATCCTCTCTTCCCCAGGCACAGCTGTCGATAGAACATGTTATTTGTCAGAAATAGACAGTGTCTGACTCTCAGCCTGTGGCATGAGGACCGCTGCTATGTCATCGCAGAAATGAGAGGACAGTGATCTAGTAATCTCCTGCAATTACATAGGAATACTTATAACTCATGGAAGCTCTTATTGATACGTACCTGCACTGGGTCGGAGATAGCAAAAACTCTCCACTGCTTCTAAGAGGCCTTCTCGGCACTTTCTCTCTGCTTCTGTAGTTACGCGGCCCTGCTTGCCGACTGGCCCGTGGTGGTCCTGGGCATGTGCACTGTGCTCATCGTGGTGTGTGCCTTGGTCGGAGTATTGGTGCCGGAGCTGCCTGACTTCTCTGACCCATTGCTGGTAAGGAGGGTTGGGCCAGGAGCGTTTGTTTATCTATTTTCTTTAGCCCAAAACCATCTTTAAAAAAAAATATGTTAATACCAATTGCATTATGTTCGATAGGATCCCATTTTTTAAAAAACCTTCTCAAGCCATTGATAGGTATACAGGTCTCTTTCAGCAAATTAGAGATATAGCTTCTCTGTCCTCAGACCCGTAAAGGTTAAGAAACATGCTCACCATGAAGAATCTGGAATCTTGTGCTTCTCAGTCCCCATGTTTAATCTAAAGAGCAAGAAATGGGAGAATCTGCTGACTACAAAAAATTTCATGAAGTCTTTAAACTGTCTTCTCCCCCCCCTCCCCACCCCTCCCTCACCCCCAAGAGAAGCTAAAGGAATTTTGGCATTGCTAAGCGATAGTAGGGGCTGTTTCTAAGTAAAATCTGCTTTGGGGTGGAATAATGAGGAAAAGATGAGCAAGTTTGAATGATACCCTCTTTGTGAAACACTGTAACATGCACAATATAATTTAATTTGACCATAATATGTTATAACCTAAAAGTAGGCATTTACAAAAAGCTTGGGTATGAATTTGAAAGAAGCTTTAGATAAGTTTTTTTTTTCCCCCCTTTCCTGAGACATGTGGCATACCAAAGAGTCAGAATGTTTTGCCACAGTAAATAGGTGGTCATTATCAGGTTAAGTCACCTTGTTTTAATGCTGGTCACCTCTGGAGTGAGGAACCTCTGTATGTGTATTTTCGGTTGGAAGCTATTCATCACCTTGACATTGCTTTCCCAAACTGCTGAACTACCCTGAGCCTGAAATGAAGGACACTAACAGGAATTTGTAACTTTTTGCCTTAGGGTTTTGAACCAAGAGGGACTACAATAGGCCAGAGACTGGTCACGTGGAATAACATGGTGAAAAACACGGGATACAAAGCAACATTAGCCAATTATCCCTTTAAATATGCAGATGAGCAAGCCAAAAGGTAATCATTTATTAACGTTCAGACAAAACATTGCTTAGTGAATTCCACTTTTAAACACTGCCTGAGCAAAAAGATAAAAGGTAAAATGTGTGGCTCAAAATCTTGTTTAAATTGCCATTGTCTAGTGAGATTTTGTTGTATTGGGATGAAAAAGTGAGCATTTGGGGGCTTTTTTCCTTTCAGAAGTGAGAAAATTAATGTTGGTTGCTTATATTAATCCTTCCAACTTAATTTCCATTGCTAAGTAGGCCATGACTTTGAGGATGTCCTGTTACAGGCACGTTTATGGGCCTTGAAATAGCTCGCATTTTATTGAAGATCACCTTGCTCTGTTTCAGCCATCGGGATGACAGATGGTCGGACGACCATTATGAAAGAGAAAAGAGAGAAGTTGACTGGAACTTCCACAAAGACAGCTTTTTCTGCGATGTTCCAAGTGAGTGGTGTTTGTAGATGAGCATACCTCTCAGCGGCTCCCTGGCCCTCTTGAGACGGACACGATTAAGATCTAAGATCGGGGCTGATGGCAGCGTGTGGCTGGTCTTAAAGGGATTCTGGCTTCATTAACTTGTCATTGTATATCTCCAGGTCAGGCAGCCACTGCTCTGAATTTGTTTGCCTATAAGGAAAATGAACAAGGAAGAGATGATGGAGTTATACTTGATTTTAAGGAGGATATAAATCTAGTAAAATTCTTGTGCTGGCCCCAAATTTCAAGTCACCTTTGTTTTGTTAATCCTCACCCAAGGTTATTTTTTCTATGGATTTTTTTTTTTTCCCAGAGAGAGTGGAAGGGAGTGGGAGAAAGAGAGAGAAACATCAGTGTAAGAGAGACACATCGATTGGTTGATTGGTTGCTTCCTGCACGAGCCCCAACCGGGGCCAGGGATTGAGCCTGCAACCAACGTACATGCCCTTGACCAGAATCGAACCCAAGACCCTTCAGTCCTCGGGCCCATGCTCCCACCACAGAGCCAAACTGGCTAGGGCTCAAGTCACTTTCTAAAATTCCTCGTACTATTGAAAAAATAGTGCACATTTTAGGATTGAACCCTGAAATAATCTACTGTATGACCAAAAATGTAGCTTTAAAATTTTGACTCCTTCAAAAAGTCTTCTGTGGCCCTGGCCGGTTTGGCTCAGTGGATAGAGCATCAGCCTGCGACTCAAGGGTCCCAGGTTCAGTTCCGGTCAGGGGCATGTACCTTGGTTGCGGGCACATCCCCAGTGGGGCGTGTGCAGGAGGCAGCTGATTGATGTTTCCAACTCTCTATCCCTCTCCCTTCCTCTCTGTAAAAAAAATCAATAAAATATATTAAAAAAAAAAAGTCTTCTGTGTGCCTGCCTTGTCCTTAGGCATTAGAGACAGAGAGATGAGCAAAGACGAGCCCAGAAGCCCAAAGCTTGAATGTCACAGGGACCTGGGTCATGATGTGAGTGAGTGATCCAGGCGGGAGACAGCAAGAAGCGGTACACGTGGGGAGCTGGAGAGCGCCTCTGGGAAGAAAGCAATTGCTACTTTGCAGCAGAACATGCCCTTGCAGAAATGAAAGGCCAGATAGTGTAAGAACTTCCCTGAGGCCAAGAAGCCAGATTTATGTCGGCAGCAAATTCGCTGAAAATCTGCTGTCGCCTGGAGTTGGCCTAGCCCCTCTGCAGTTGCCACGGAGTGATGAGTACAGGCCAGAGCAGCAGCCGCCATTGGCACCTTTCAGGCCTCACAGACCACCGGTTGGCGACTGCTGGGCTAGAGGAAGTGCATGTAAGTGTGTAAGTCGCCGATCAGCCTAGATGAGGAGTGAGGAACTGTGGAGTGAACATTAACATTAAGCTCTTTTGAGTCTAGCTTTTTTGGTTGTTGAAAATCTCTCTAAAATGTAGCTTCCTGTAAATCACATTACAGAGGACCTGATTGGCTCTCGGATGTTTCTAGATCTTGCCATGCCCCCGGGTCTTTATTGTGGACACTTTCACTCCATAGTCATTAGCGAGATAGAAAGTAGGAGATTAGGGAGCGCTTTATACCAATCCCAGGAAGCAACGCAAGGTTTTTTTCTGTCTCTTATTGGAAAAGTTGGTTTCTGGTTAGTTGCATGTTCAGCTAGCTTGTCTCCCTCAAAGTGTGGCTAGATATTGCTTAACCAGCATCTCTCTTAACCAGGAAGCACATTAGCAAATCCACGAGATACAGTCTCCTTTATATTTCTGTAGTCAGCACTAAATATTTGTCCCATGAGCAGTAGGTTCCACCCTGATAAAGTCATTTCTGACTGCTCGAATGAAATGTTCCACAAAGCTTATTTAGATCTGTAAAACCAATCAACATACGATAACAGCCGTTCGATGAAGACAGGCGTTTACCAAAGAAAACTTCAGAATTGTGAACAGAGTTTACGTAATAAAAGCTTTATTCATTCATTCGCAGGTTGAGTTTCTTTGTTAGCACATTTAGGCATCTTAGCTCACGGGAAACTCATCTGCTCCGTTTTCCTTGGTTCAGATTTTTGGTCACAGCCGGGGCGGGGGGGGGGGGGGGGGGGCAGGCAGAAAGAGGACCTACTCAGCACCCCTTTTCCGTCTCATTTAGTCCCCACGGCCGTTGGAGATGGTGTTGCTGTCTCCATCTAACCAGTGAGGAGCCGAGGTGCAGAGAAGCAGTTAGTTGCCCAAGATCGCCAGCTAGGAATCGCCAAGACCTGGTCACACCCAGGGCTAACGCCAAAGACCACGCCCTTTCCAGAACATCGCACAGCCTCCCTCACTCAGAAACACGTTTTATATGAGGATGATTTTCCACACAGCTTTTCTACTCTGGCGAACTCCGCCAGGACGTGGAGGGGTCTGCGATCCCGGCCAGCAGCCTGTACTTAGGGGACTGTTTTTACTGCTTTTAAATGGATCAGCTGCCATGCCTCCTCTTTAGTTAGCTGCCAGAGAGAGAGAGCGCCCCTACCATCCATCCTCGCAGTCCCCGTGCGTCATTCTCTGATGACGTGCCATCGTGGTGACGTGCTGGGAAATGAAGAGGGAGGCAATCGATTAACTGCCCGCTGGACATTCTGTGGATTGCTCTTCCTCATTAGAGCCTGACCTGCACTTCATTTGTCATGTGAGTCCTGTGGTTTTTCAGGTGCAGAGAGTAGACAGAGGCCTTGAGCGAAGACAGTGTTAGGGCGTTGCTTTTTTTTTTTTTTTTTTAACATTTTCTCCTGGAATTTGTCGAAGGAAGGGCTCCCCTGCCGGTAATGAATTGTCCATGTGGCTTCCCAGTTTGAATCGCTTCTAAAATGCCACGTCTTAGGGAATCCGTGAATAATTCATAACCCTGTTTCTTTTCTTTTTTCATCTTCACAGGTGACCGCTATTCCAGGGTAGTGTTTGCTTCAGCCGGAGGAGAGACGTTATGGAATTTACCAGCCATTAAATCGATGTGCAATGTAGATAATTCAAGGGTATGTAAAGGGAAACTGAAGTAGGTTTGGCACCAATGAGGCGATGCTTTTGAAACTCGGCTTACTGCTGGGTCCCGTCTGATCCGACGGGAGTCCTTGCGGGGCTCGCCTGCGAGGAGTGAACAGCGGCAGGCCGCCTGGCAGTCTCTTAGATCCCAGGATCAAAGTGTCCCCGTCCCCACCCTCCACACTGTCTTCCCCAATAAAGGACTTGTTTCTTTCGCTCTCCTGTTCTTTGTCTGTGACAGTCTCTTGTATTCTTTCACAGCAGCTCTCCTTTCAGGATCATAGTTCAGACTCTTTTTCCTTCTTTTGTCATATTTCCTCTCCTAATCTGCTTTCATTGTTCACCACGCTTCCCCCCGAGGCAACTGTCAGCACCTTAATTATGCAGCCAAATGCCGGCCTTCCTAGCAGTCCCTGGGCCATTTCCCTGTGACCTCAAAGGAAGGTTTAGGGCCCAGGCTGGGGAAAGGGACATCAAAGGATATGAATCGGTATCTGTGCACATGGCCGGAGCACCTTGCTCTGGAGAAGGCAGAGGATGCCGGGGAGACAGCACTTCCTGTCCTGGAGCCCAAAAGCTGTCAGGCCAGAGCATGCCAAGGCCGCCTCTGGGAGAGCTGTCAATTCCCCGAGTTCAGAGGCAGTTTCTCCAGGTAGAAACTGCTGTCTGGTGTCACTCCTGGGCCTGTCCAAGCACAGTGACCAGCGGAAAGGAACTCACTACATTCTTAGCGCCACCCTAAGGTACAGCTGGAAATGGAAGCGCCTGCAATGCTGAGAGCTAGCCTGACCATCAGTGCAATCGCCTGTTCTGGCAACAGCGTTCCTTAATGGAGTAAGAGGCAGAACGGACGCTGAGGCCACCCAGACTGGCCGTCCTATTGAGCCGAGAACTAAGTTAGTTCTCAGGTTCGCTAATTGGCCCCAGATCTCCTGACTCTCTTCATCCTGAGAGGCGTTTATACCTTTTGGAAGTAACTTCCCCGTGGGGTGAGCCATCAGGATTTGCTGCGAGTACCCTCTTGTCTCTGTCCAACTCCAAACAGGCCAGAGGCACAGACCATCAGTAAACGACGGCAGCTTCTCCCCAGGTCAGTTTTCATCGGCCGCGTTTTCTCTCTCCCACACGATCAGTTCGTTATTCGGGAGCTGTGAAGGTGTTTCTTCTCGTTACGGGCTCCACCTTCTTCTGTAGACAGTGAGGCCCGGAGGAGGAGATGGTGGAGTATCTGTGATGAGTAGACGATGCCCCGTCCTGTACCTCACTCACCAGGCCTGTGACCTTGGGACTTGTAACGCGGTGTAAGCCGGGCTGGTTACCGGACGTTCACACCTTGGATGAGAACAGCTCCTTCCCTTCCGTACCTCCTAGTTCTCGTTACCCCACCTTCACAGTTGATCTTTAGACCTTCCCCCCCTGAAGACACTGTAGTGACTGAATTCACGCTGTTGATTAATAGCTGATGTCTATTGAGCGCTGCTGATGTCTGCCAGGGCGTGTCCCAAACACCTAATGAATTATTTCATTATTCGTTGAATTATTGTTCATCGGCACCATAGTGTTATGAATTAAGTACTGTTATTGCCCATTTATTTATCTTTTAAATATTTTTTATTGGTTTCAGAGAGAGGAAAGGAGAGAGAGAAACATCAATGATGAGAACCATCAATCGGCTGCCTCCTGCACACCCCTTACTGGAGATCAAGCCCACAACCTAAGCATCGGCCCATGAACATGACCTCCTGGTTCATGGGTCAGTGCTTAACCATTGAGCCACACAGGCTGGGCTTACTGTCCAATTTATAGATGAGGAAAGTTCACACAGGAGGGAAGTGGCAAATGCAGGATTTGAGCCAAGTCTCACTTCAGCCTGTGCCTCATGCTCCCAAAATGCAAGAAATACACCATTTTTGTTCAGTTTTACTATAGATGCCATTTCCAACTCAAACGAACCTCAGAGTCACCATGGCCTGGAATAAGTGTCATTTTTAGAGCTAGCAGTTTATTCCGTGATGCCTTCAAAGACTCAGAAGCCAGAAAGCAGTGCTGAGGCACATAGCTTTCACAAGTGGGAGCAATACACTGTTTCATGTATAACCCATATCCATCCAGAGCAGATGGATAAAATGAGCATCGATAGGTGGCTTCCCGAAAGGCATCCAGAACGGACACGATAAAAAGGTTGAATGAATGACACGAAGGGGAAGTAACGGGAGGAAAATCACGAAGCTAAGGGTGAGATTTAACATGAAAGAACACATACCCCGTGATCCTGTACACTGGCTGATCGGGAGCAGCAAACTTGTTTGTACCCTCCCTGACAGCCACCGCAAAAAGCAACTCACAGTCAAGGGCGAAAGCCAGAGAATAGGGTAACGAGTTTCTTTCTCGAGGATATCCAGTTTCCCCTAATAGTAAGGCAGGCGAGGACCGCCCTCGCTCCTCACAGCCTTCAGCAAAAAGCAGGATGTGTTCAGGGACCTCAGCCTGCTCACAGAGATACAGGACGGACCCTTAGCTGATGATAGACCCTGTCTCAGGCAGGTTGGTAGCAGGAACACGTCATAGCAGAAGCATTTCTACAAGAGATTAATGCAAGGACATCTAAATATGTGGCCTGCTAGTGGTTTAATACATTAGCAGAATGCAGACCATAAAGGCATGGGTGCACTCTGCCTCTTTGAGTGTTTTTCTCCCCTGGGCTCGGAATAAGGATTGGGTAGCTTCGCGGTCAAGTTTGTAACCCGTAGCAAGGACACCCTAAGCATTGTGGTCCACGTGTGAAGTGTGCGGAACACACCCAAGACACGCAGCTCAGTGAGTGGCCCAGCCAGTCACAGACCCGCACCAGCACGTGGACAGCTAGATCACGGGGTCCCCAAATTCTGCCTCCGAGGGCATAGCTGTCATTTTCACTTGTTAAATGAGATGCTGTTTTTACCAATTGCTAGTGCCTTTGTATTCTCATCTCTAACTCTGCCGTGAACCCAGAACAGTAAACCTTTCCTGTAGGGATGAGATATTCAGTGGCACCTCGGTTAGCAGGTCAGATTTCAGGTTATTTCAGATGGTTGCCGAGCCTCTTTTAGTCCCTCAGCTCTGGGCCCTTTTCGGGCTTTTATTTGTTGCTGTGGTTTGAGCAAACTGTGTCCAGAGGCTACTTGGCCATATCCCGCCACCCTCTCCCCCCAAATGCTAGTATTCTACTTATGTACTTGATTATTTTTTAAAATATATTTTATTGGTTTTTTACAGAGAGGAAGGGAGAGGGGTAGAGAGTTAGAAACATCGATCAGCTGCCTCCTGCACACCCCCTACTGGGGATGTGCCCGCAACCAACGTACGTGCCCGCAACCAAGGTACATGCCCTTGACCGGAATCGAACCTGGGACCCTTCAGTCCGCAGGCCGACGCTCTATCCACTGAGTCAAACCGGTTAGGGCCGCACTTAATTATTAACAACATCATGTTGAATGGGACACACACCAAAATGACACAGAGCAGAAGAGCTTTCCTGTCGGTAGGTCGACCCTAGAAAACGTCTGGTCCTCAGTGTAACATCCAGGGGGACCTGACTTCCGCTGTCGCCTGCCTGTGCTGACAGCACACTGAGTTCACCCCCAGCGTCCGTTCCCACGACAAGCCCCAGACACGCCGAGTCCAGGCAGCCTTGCCCTCCCCCACGAAGAGCTTCCGCTCCCAAGTTCCGGCTCCCTCCTGACAGTCTGTTCCTTAGCCTTTCACAGGAGCCTCAGTTGTTGCCCCGTCTTCTCCGTTCCTTTTCTGCCCTTTGATCTCGGGGGCCACTGGCAGTTGCCACTCGTGCCCAGCAGTGTGCTCCTCTAGCTGTCTCTGCTGGAAACCCTGAGCCCTGCTCCTTAGTCTGCGCATCGTCGGAGGCAGGACTCTGAGCGATCGGCTGATAACAGGGATTTGAAATTCGGTGCCTAAGATCCTGTTTTCTGGGGCAGCTCTCATGGATAGCTAGACCCTCCCCAGTGCTTGTTCTAAGGAAGCCTGGAGCCCTGCCTTTTCTCTCCTCTCAGGTCCCTTCAGTTTTCCAGTCACGAGGCCAGCGTTACTAGAACCTGGGATCAGGGGGTGACTTGCTTCCCGTTAGCTGCTTCCCTGAGCCTCTTAAAATAGCTCCAGCTCGGCCGCTAGTTCTAAAAGCTAAGGGATGATTTAAAGCTCGGCTGCCACCTTTTTCTCTCCTCTTCCTTTACCCCCTGTTTAAGCCAACCCCACCCTGCTGCCGTCTAACCAGGAAATGTGCAGGGACACGGGACAGCCACATAAGCAGCGTGCTTTCTGCAGCAGGCGATTTGCCAGTGCCTCCAATTAAGAGTTGCGCTGCTCACCAGAGTTACAAGAAGCCGCCCTCACTCACTCTGTCCCTATGTTTATAATTGTCAAAGATTCTGAAATCATCCCTATGAACGCTTTTCCCCAAAATACGGCAGAAATGTATGTCCTCTGCATAAAGACATACCTGCTTGCCAAGCTCCGTAAGCCCCACCGGGTAATAGATAACCAAGTGTCAGCCGGCTGAGTCTCACCACCAAGTGAGGGCCGCTGTCCACCACACGGACTCCTCTTGGCATCCCCTCCGCAGGCTCACGCAGACCCTCCCGCATAACACGCTGGTCCTTCCACATGAGTTAGAATCGCTGGTTTTCTGGTCTCATTTCCCTGTTGCTCGCGAGTGACTTCAGGGCAAGGCCCGCTGTGCCGTATTCATCTTGTATGGGCGTCAGTAACATTTTTTCCTTTTGAACGGAGGGACGGGTGGCACCATACGGCCTCGCTCCTGACCGCCTTGGCCAGTGATGGCGAGCCTTTTGAGCTCGGCGTGTCAGCATTTTGAAAAACTCTAACTTAACTCTGGTGCTGTGTCACACACAGAAATTTTTTGATCTTTGCAACCATAGTAAAACAAAGATTAATATTTTTGATATTTACTTTATATATTTAAATGCCATTTAACAAAGAAAAATCAACCAAAAAAATGAGTTTGCATGTCACCTCTGACACGCGTGTCACCTCTGACACGCGTGTCACCGGTTCGCCATCACTGGCCTAGGCAGTTCCTTGTCCTGCATTCCCTTAGACTCAGGGCCTCAGGCACTAGCTTCCAACCCCGGGTAAGTGGACCGTCACGATGTCTCAGTTCTGTCCTTACTTCTTACCCTGCACGCGCCCTCGGAACCGCTTTCCAAGGTGGTCCATCCGCCAGCCCCGCCCTGGAGTCGGGATCGCCGCTCCGGAGGCTGCTGGCGTTTATTTTTCATAGTGACCATCCCAGTAGTGTTCGTCTGGTCCAACATTCTCATCTTCGATCAGACATCCTCGTGGAAAACAAAAACCCTGCTGGTATTTGCGAAGGCTATTCAGGGACAGGATTCTGTGCTTGCCTTCCCAGTTCCCACTGGCAACCTGCTTCCTTTATCTTTCCGCCCAGTCATTTCATCCGCTGCAAACAGGTTCCTTCTAGCAGATCCTGGGTTTCGTAATGGGTGCGATTCATCTTCCTCCACCTGAGAACGGTCAGGCATTGGGGTTGCCCTGCCTCTCTGCTCCCCCCGCTGAGTGAAGGGGCCTGCGGATTCTCTCTCTGCAGGGAGGGAACTAGTAGCTGCCGCGAAGACCGGCGGGTGCCCTCCCAGAGTGCCCTGGTGTCCGCTGGGCATCTGCTCCCCCTGACAGCCTAGGTGACTGTCTTCACCTGGTAGCAGCTAAATAGGAATTACCCTATTTTGTGAAATGTCAAGTAATTACTGCTCTTTGGAAGTGAACTTGAAAGTGAGGGCTTTGTTACAATAAACATTGATTTAGTACACTTGAATGATAGCTTTTTTGACTTTTTTTTTTTAACTGAAGACAGAGTATCTTTGAAAACAGCAATTTTTATTATGGAAATTTTCAAACCGATGCAGAAGTAGAATAACAGAATAATTCCTCACATGAAAGTCTCCCAGCGTCAGCCGTTCCCAGTACATGGCCAATTTATTTTATCTGAGTCCCATTGAAGTACAGTTGACCTTGAACGGCATGGCAGTTTGCGGGGCCAACCCCCTGTGCTGTAGAAAATTCACATAAAACTTTTGACTCCCCAAAGGCTTAACTGCGTATCTTGACGGCCAGGGCTTAGGTTCTGAGTGACTTGGTTCTTCGGTAAGTCTCAGTTCCAAAGAGGCGATTGTGCCAACATGTCCTCCACTTGGAGAAGGTATTTCGTGCATGATTGATAAAGCCCACTTTAATAAAGATCAAGGTGGGTTTAGTCAAAAATATTTAGAAGGTATTTCGTGCATGATTGATAAAGCCCAACTTTAATAAAGATCAAGGTGGGTTTAGTAAAAAATATTCACACCCCTCTTTTTTAAAAATGTTTTTATTGATTTCAGAGAGGAAGGCAGTGGGAGAGGGAGAAACATCAATGATGAGAGAATCATGGATCAGCTGCCTCCTGCACACCCCCTACTGGGGATGGAGGCCGTAACCTGGGCATGTGCCCTGACCAGGAATCGAACCATGACCCCCTGGTTCCTAGGTCGACGCTTAATCACTGAGCCACACCAGCCGGGCACTCATACTCTTCTTGAACTTCGGAGTTTCCTCCCTGAACAGCCTTTGGCAAGTGAGACGAGGGCCCGTGAGAAGTGGGTCATCTCTAGCTCTGGTGCTTCGAGAGGAGTCTGCACGGGCTCCCAGGAGGGGCTGTTCCGAAGGCCGTGGACTGGCACTGGCTTCCGCATGAATCAGCAAGGCCAGGCTTGGCATTGGGACAACTTACCCATTTTCTGTAACCAGAACAGCCGTCAGCAGAAAAGCATTCTCCGGGAAGAGCAGCCCATGGGAAGTACTGTCCCCTGAACCCGGTCGTCACACCTGCTAGTACCAGGCAGCAGAGCCCTGTTTGCCGAGAGAGGAAGTTCTCCCCAAGGGGTTCGGCCACCTTGAGTAGACTTTAAAGGATGCGGAGGAAATCATTAAACTCCTTATTTATGGTATTAATTGTACATATTCGTTTACAATCAGATATATCCCAGGGTGGGCACAAGCAGGTTCACAGTTGTGAGTACGCATAACACAGAGTTTTTATTCCTGTGTGATTATTGTATTATTTCTTTGTACAACTATAAACCAACTTTTGCCCACCCCTGTGAATGTACATATCTCAGGAAACAGTTTTATTCCAGGGCTTTCATGCATCTTTGTCATCAGCGCTTCTGGTCGCAACAGTCACTTTTTAAAAAAATTGTTTTAAAAGGGTTTTTTATTGATTGTTAGAGAGAGAGGAAGGGAGAGGGAGAGAAACATCGATGTGAGCACAAACCATGATTGGCTGCCTCCTGCACGCCCCCTACCAGCTCCCTACCAGCTTGGGGAATGTGTCCTGACCCGGAGTTGAACCGGCAACCTTTAGGTGCACAGGGTGAGGCCCAACCAACTGAGCCACACCAGCCAGTTGCTTTCTGATTCGCTGACAGTTTTCTAGGAGATGTCCTGTTGCTTCCAACTGGGTTGATTGAGCCAATATACCTTCACCACCCAACGTTTCATACTGATATCCAGAAATGTAGGGCAAAGCCACAGATTGGTTTCATGAATCAATTGGCCCCTTGTCCTCTTAACTGATCTGGTAGGTATGCATACCCAAGCCTCACAGCCTGTCCACTCTATTGCTTTTCAGAGGGACTTTGAAAAGGCCTGTTTACGGAAGAGGTGTTAATTTCCTCCCCTCTTTGAAGCCACACCAGCACTGGCTGCAGTTGTTTCGCGCTTGCCTGTCATCCTCAAGCAGTACTTTGTTGTTCAAAGTAGCCCAGCGAGGACTTTGCCACAGCAGGGCTCTGAGGGGAGCTCACACCCGGCATTCACACCGGAGGATGGCTGTTTACCTTCTGTAACTCCCTGGTCCTCAAGGCCACCTTAACCCAGACCTCTGAGCAACCCGCTTTATTAATTTATTTATTTTAAATATGTTTTTATTGATTTCAGAGAAGAAGGGAGAGGGGGAGAGAGAGAGACATTGATGAGAGAGAGGTCAAAGTGCCCAGGATGCGGGAGACCCTCACTGAGCTCTTCTTTTGTTTTTCTATTGTTTGGTTTTTAAAAATATTTGTATTGATTTCAGAGAGGAAGGGAGAGGGAGAGAGAGAGATAGAAACATCAACGATGAGAGAGAATCATGGATCGGCTGCCTCCTACAGGCCCCCCACTGGGGATCTAGCCCACAACCCGGGCATGTGCCCTGACCGGGAATCAAACCGTGACCTCCTGGTTCCTAGGTCGATGCTCACCCACTGAGCCATGCCGCCCCGGTGAGCGACCCTGTTTTAAACGCCCGTCCTCCGTGTGTCTGTCTCTGCAGATCAGGGCGCACCCCCAGTTCAGCGACCTCTGCCAGAGGACCACGGCCGCCTCCTGCTGCCCCAGCTGGACGCTGGGCAACTACATCGCCATCCTGAACAACCGGTCGTCCTGCCAGAAGATCGTGGAGCGGGACGTGACCCACACGCTGAAGCTGCTCCGCGCCTGCGCCAAGCACTACCAGAACGGCACGCTGGAGCCCGACTGCTGGGACGCGGCGGCCCGGAGGAAGGACCAGCTCAAGTGCGCCCACGTGCCGCGCAAGTGCACCAAGTACAACGCCGTCTACCAGATCCTGCACTACCTGGTGGACAAGGACTTCCTGGCCCCGCGGGCGGCCGACCAGCCCGCGCCCGCCCTCAGGTACAGCATGCTCTTCTCGCCCACCGAGAAGGGGGAGAGCATGATGGGCATCTATCTGGACAACTTCGAGCGCTGGAACGCGTCCGACGGCGTCACCACCGTCACCGGCATCGAGTTTGGGATCAAGCACAGCCTGTTCCAGGACTACCTGCTGATGGACACCGTGTACCCCGCCATCGCCATCGTCATCGTCCTGCTCGTCATGTGCGTCTACACCCGGTCCGTGTTCATCACGCTCATGACCATGTTCGCCATCATCAGCTCCCTGATCGTCTCCTACTTCCTCTACCGCGTCGTGTTCAACTTCGAGTTCTTCCCCTTCATGAACCTCACGGCGCTCATCATCCTGGTGGGGATCGGGGCGGACGACGCCTTCGTCCTGTGCGACGTCTGGAACTACACCAAGTTCGACAAGCCCCAGGCCGACACCGCGGAGACGGTGGGCGTCACCCTGCAGCACGCCGCCCTGTCCATGTTCGTCACCAGCTTCACCACGGCCGCCGCCTTCTACGCCAACTACGTGAGCAATATCACGGCCATCCGCTGCTTCGGGGTGTACGCGGGCACGGCCATCCTGGTCAACTACCTGCTGATGGTCACGTGGCTGCCCGCCGTGGTCGTGCTGCACGAGCGGTACCTGCTCAACGTATTCACCTGCTTCCGGAAGCCCCAGCCGCAGGTGTACCCCCACAAGAGCTGCTGGGCGGCCGCGTGCCGGGCGGGCCACAAGGCCCTGTTTGCCGTCTCCGAGGCCTCGCGCATTTTCTTCGAGAAGGTGTTGCCCTGCATCGTCATTAAGTTCCGCTACCTCTGGCTCTTCTGGTTCCTCGCCCTGACCGTGGGGGGCGCCTACATCGTGTGCGTGAACCCCAAGATGAAGCTGCCCTCCTTGGAGCTGTCCGAGTTCCAGGTGTTCCGGTCGTCTCACCCGTTCGAGCGCTACGACGCCGAGTACAAGAAGCTCTTCATGTTCGAGCGCGTCCACCACGGCGAGGAGCTGCACATGCCCATCACGGTGATCTGGGGGGTGTCCCCCGAGGACAACGGCAACCCGCTGAACCCCAAGAGCAAAGGCAAGCTGACCTTGGACAGCAGCTTCAACATCGCCAGCCCCGCGTCCCAGGTCTGGATTCTGCACTTCTGCCAGAAGCTGCGAAACCAGACCTTCTTCTACCAGACGGATGAGCAGGACTTCACCAGCTGCTTCATCGAGACCTTCAAGCGCTGGATGGAGAACCAGGACTGCGACGAGCCGGCCCTGTACCCCTGCTGCAGCCGCTGGAGCTTCCCCTACAAGCAGGAGGTCTTCGAGCTGTGCATCAAGAGGGCCATCATGGAGCTGGAGCGCAGCACGGGGTACCACCTGGACAGCAAGACCCCGGGGCCCCGCTTCGACATCAACGACACCATCCGGGCCGTGGTCTTGGAGTTCCCGAGCACCTACCTCTTCACGCTGGCCTACGAGAAGATGCACCAGTTCTACAGGGAGGTGGACGCGTGGATCTCCCGCGAGCTGAGCTCGGCCCCCGAGGGCCTGGGCAACGGCTGGTTCGTCAGCAACCTGGAGTTCTACGACCTGCAGGACAGCCTTTCGGACGGCACGCTGGTGGCCATGGGGCTCTCCGTGGCCGTGGCCTTCAGCGTGATGCTGCTCACCACCTGGAACGTGATCATCAGCCTCTATGCCATCGTCTCCATCGCCGGGACCATATTTGTGACGGTCGGCTCGCTCGTCCTGCTGGGCTGGGAGCTGAACGTGTTGGAGTCTGTCACCATCTCGGTGGCGGTGGGCCTGTCGGTGGACTTCGCTGTCCACTACGGGGTGGCGTACCGCCTGGCCCCGGACGCCGACCGGGAGGGGAAGGTGGTCTTCTCCCTGAGCCGCATGGGCTCCGCCATCGCCATGGCTGCCCTGACCACCTTCGTGGCCGGGGCCATGATGATGCCGTCCACCGTCCTGGCCTACACCCAGCTGGGCACCTTCATGATGCTCATCATGTGCATCAGCTGGGCCTTCGCCACCTTCTTCTTCCAGTGCCTGTGCCGCTGCCTCGGGCCGCAGGGCGCCTGCGGGCAGATCCCGCTGCCCAGGAAGCTCCAGTGCAGCGCCTTCGCCCACCCCTCGCCCGCGAGTCCTCGGGACAAGGGACCGAGCAAAACGCACAGCGCGAACGCTTATCA